CTACTCTCATGTGGGATTCTCACGGCTATTAGCAAGGATCTGCCAAGTAAGGCTGAGAGGATCTTCGAAGACAGTCACCTGCCCGGGGGTGGATCAAGAGAGTGTCAGATGATGAGGCTCGTCTACCTTCTGAGTCAAAGCAGTGCACTGCTCACTTTCGCATCTTCCCACTTCGTTCAGACAAGATGTCTCAACCCTCCTCTGTCCACCGGAGCGAATGTGAAAATGGCTCCCGACAATGCGCTCAACGGTGAACAACCCCCGCGCGTCGAATCCGCAGTGGAGTAAGTCCGAGCGTCTCCCCACCATCATCATGATAGATAAACTGATGCCGTGGGAAATCTTAGTATCGTTGCAGTGCCAGCTATTGGTGCGGACCCCGGGAGGACATGGCTCGATGAGTATTCACAAACGCCGTGGCTTCTTACCGAGTTAAACAGATGCATCCCAACCGCTCGAGTTTTATTTGCAGACCATGGACACCTTGACTCTCGAGATGATCTGGACTCACTGGCTCACCGGTTGTTAAAATGGCTTCTAGAGGAACGGCGGGCAACTGTGAGTACATCTATTAGCCTGGTGCAGACTTAAAGCACGGTCCCTGATATTACGCTGCAGAGCCTTAGGCGCCCTATCTTCTTCATCTGTCACAGCACGGGCGGACTTGTCGCCAAAGCAGCGCTTGTAATAGCCAGCCAACTGACATTCAGACTTGGTTCGATCCTGTCAAGCTGCTATGGCATCGCATTTCTGGCGACTCCGCATCACGGCTCGACTTATCTGTCGGCTCCCGAGTTCACCAAAAGTGTTCAGCGCTTGATGAGACTCAAACATCGCATCCCATCTCGCATTCAGGAGCTCTTCAAACCGAGGCATTCCTACCTCTTGCGTCTTTCGAGCGAATTCAAGGCAATATCGGCAGATATCAAGCTTTGGACCTACCTGGAGACCGTCGATTCGACTTTAAGTATTGCCGACTCCGAGGCTGGGACCACCATAGACATGCATGTTCCCATCACGTCCATTCGATCCGGTATTCTTGGTTTTGAGCATGAGAAAGAAACCCCTCTGGCTACTGACCACGTTGGCACTGCGGCTTTCAAGGGCCAGGAGCTTACAACAAGAACCAGTTTCATAGATGAACTACATGAATCTGTTACCGTGGCTATTCACCTATCGAAGCTAACAGATGCCCCATTAGACGTTGATTTGGAAGTAATGGTCCAGGTAAATGGCTTTTTCGAAGACACCGCGCGTGGCATTAGTGACGAAACCCCTTTGACATTATGGTCAACTAAAGCGTCTCTCCGCGAGTATTTGGCCAATGGACCCTCTTCGTGCCTTAACCTTAGGCTTCAAAGGACAGCCGGAATACCAGCGAGCATCTACGACGACTCTTCTATAAGCAGCTTTGACAGCAGACCCACTTCTGCTCAGGTTCGAGCGTCAATGGATGGCATATTACACCCAAGGGATGCCACTGTAACGGATGCCAACAGGCCTGAAAATGTTCCTCAGAGACCCTCAATAAAGAAGAGTCGCAGCTTTATGGGCCATATATCTCCTCAGATCCATATTACTGAGCCAGCCGTTCACGACTACTTTGATGTACAGCCAGAATTAAGTCAAGGTGTAAAGATATCTGACTCGCAACGCCAGGATAAGACAGAAGATGCAACCCAAAGCGAGACGGGCGTGGGGAATGTTACGTGAGTTTCGAATCGACTCCCGCCAGTGAAGCTAGACAGTTGACAGAAGCCAAACGAAGGGCAACTTCCAGTCCTCCCAGGTACAAAAGCTTCCTACCGATTCCGCCGCCCTCCCGAGATACTGTCGATCAGCAGAGGGCCGAGATGCCTCGGAAGATGCCACGATTTGACCAGCCAGAGCCAGGGAGCGAGAAGCTTCTTTGGATTCATGTGCCTTATACCCACACTGGATGGGTACCAGCTATACTTACCAAGGCTTGTGGGGACCATGATAGACAGAGATTGTAGGTAGTTCTGCAGTTCGCATTATATTTAGACCTCTTTCTGACGTATCTTCTGACGTATCTAGTTTGGAAGAATTCATCAATGACGAATACTGGTACTCGAATCTCATCAGAGCCCGTCACCTCGAACCTCACGCTCGCTATGTGAGACCCAACTGTATTTACTTCAAACAGAGCGAGCCTCCGTCTTCCGAGACTATGGATGGGCATCATGATCCTAGATTGGCTTTATACGTATGTCTACCACTTTAAGGAACAAGCAGGATGCTCACCTTTCGTTTCTAAACAGATACCATATGTACGTACTATCAAACGAGTAAGATTGCATGCACGTCTTCTGTGCTAATTACAGCATAGCTTCATTGGGATACCTACTGGAATCTTGTTCAGCGGCGTAAAGTTGTCGAAGACAGATTGCGACAAGGGCGCTTCAGACCTGTGCCAGATGACATCTCCCAAGCGAGCCTGGAGTCAAAGTTGATCTGGAGATATCTCGGCAGTGAACCGCCTATTCATATCCGGCGAACGTTGGATCAATTCGGATATCCTAACTTACGATCAACAGTGGCAAGAGACGATGACCAGATGCTCTGGAAAAGGACGAAAAAGGTCGTTAATCTTAATGACGAGATAAGAATTTCCGCCGAAGCAGATGATATCACCAACACCAAAAACACATTCATGGATGGAAAGGTCCTTATGGTCGATCAACTCTGGCTATGGATTGTCGATGAGAAGACAGTCGTCACTTTCTTCCCCAACCAGGAGGCTACGACGGCAGAAGGCAAACTCTACGAACAGTCAAATCTCTATAGCAGCATATACAACGAGCTTAATGGAGACCTCGCAAGACGCTTCGAAACAGCTGGCGACCTCGCTTCCTTAATCGTGCTCCATGCAGTCACCGTTCTTTTGGACCGGACATTGCACCGTGACCTGCAGATACTCCGGATATTCGAAGAATCTATCAGCATTCTTGTGAGGACCCTGACCCCTCTGGTGTAGAAATATCCTAACTAAATCAGACTGAAATTGTGACCAAATCATTCAAACGTTTCCGAAATCGCGGTTTCAACACTCGACCGGCCGACTATAACAAGAACGCTGAAGGCAGGCCCATGTCCGCTGCAGAGCGCGATGAGAGGGATAATAAAGTAGCCAGACGAAACCGGGAAGACCTCTCCACATTGTTAGAGCTGAGAGACATCGTGGACGAACTAAGCACCCTCCTCAAACTCCTCGAGCAGCAAGCAAATACAGTGAGAACCATGTCCAGCTACTTCGAACACAAAGGCTGCGGACAAGCATTCATCGAATCAGCCCTATCAAGACTGGAAGAGTACCGTAACCAAGTCCTCGAAATGCGAGAGAACGCATCAGTTGCACAGAAAGCAGTACGTTCTCACCAATCTTCTCTCCAAGACTCATCTAAAACTGACACCCACCAACAGGTCGAAAACCTGCTCGATCTCAAACAAAAGCAAGCCAGCGTTGACGAGTCCCGTCTCGCCCGCTGGGAAGCGGAAGTAACTCAAGACCAATCACGATCCGTAATGGTCTTTACAATATTCACCATCATGTCAGTTCCCAAAACACATACCTCCAGCCAACGAACTCACATAGTTAA